ACGTTTGACACTGACCATCCACGCGCCGCGATCACCCAACCGACTGTTATTGACGCTGGCATCGTCAAAAGCTGGCGTCATGACATTAAACATATGTCTTCATTACGTTGCACCGTGTTTTTGCTTTTCATCTTGCCGAATCTCTATCCATAAACATTGTTCCCTGTGCTCAAGCAGTAGTGGTTCCTGACAGGTCCATTATCATCTGTTGCCGTTCTGTATCACCTCCGGCAGCTGAGTTCTCCCCCCCTTGGATCGGTTATTTGACGTCACCATCCCCCGTTCTGCTATAACAGGTGTGTTCTACTGGTGCTTCGACCCCTATCCACAATTACCGGCCATGGTTTGCTCCGGAAGGTGTCTTTTCCGTTTTCCTAAACCTCTATCCACAGTCATCGTTCTCTTTCCCGTCCGACACCGGTCTTCTCCGACTACCAGGACATCTATCCAGTGCTACCTCGCCCCTATTTCGCTCCGACAGGCGCGTGCTCCAGCTTCTCAGACCTCTATCCAACTCGCCGTCCTCTGTACTGCCCGGCAGGCGTGTTCTCCGGCTACCTGGACCACTACGGCTGTGGCAGCTGGAGGAGCTGGCGGGGGGTGACCCGATAGTGGCTGCTGGCGCTGACAAGCTGGCCCGTGGCCCGCGCTCGCCGCCCTGCCGCTGGTTGTGCTGGCCGAGCCTCTGGTGCAGCGACTCGGCGCCGGTAACCTGGTGGCCGCCGGCCTGGCAGTCGTCGGCATCAAGCTCTTCGGTACGAGCCTTGCCTCTGTACTCAGTGCAGAGGCGACTCGTAGACTTGGTTCTGCTCGCTACAGACGAGAGTTTTAAAAGCTTGGTTTGGCTTGGGTCTACGCAATGGCGATGGTTTTGCACTGTGAGGGTAGCTGGAAGTTGTCCAGCTGTTCCCAAACGGTGGCGTGTTGGCCTCTTTGTCAACATAGCATGGTTTGCTTTTCATGTCCGGGCTGTGCCGGCTGATGAGACTGTCTGCTGGTCTCTATTCTCTAGTGGGCAGTTTATCTGCTGGACCGCTGGATCGCGACTCGCCTCCCACTCGTTAAGCTGCTGTGACTTCTGATCAAGCTGCCTGTTGGCCACTGTTGTCTGCTGTGGGACTGCATCGCTGTGCGAGGCTCGCCGATTGTCGGGGCCCGGCGCGCCGGTGGAGTTAGCTGCCAGTCCCCGCTGGCCACCGCTGGCCGCCGCTGGCCGCCGCTGGCCACCGCCGGTCTGCAGTGTCTCCCGATCGCCAGGGTATGGTCTGCTGGTCACCCCGGAGCTGTGCCTCCTGATCGAGCTGTGCGAGCCGCTGGTCGGGCCGCTGTTCATCAGCGCCGTGCTGCGCTACAGCAGGAACATCACCAGCAAGGCCAACAGCGACACCACTGGTGTTCTGGTCGCCACCGCCCACTATGGATTCGGTACGATCCTCCGCGTGGTTGGGGAAGACGACGCACCACGTCGCGGTCATCCCACGCGGGCATGCGCCTCTCATGCAGCGTTCATGCGCTCAAAGGGACTTTTCAAGTGACGTGTGATCAACAGCGTCACAGACCATGTGAATATGTGAAAGTCACAGTGATTGGGGCCACACCCAAATGCGAGACGGTGTTCGTTGCTATTTAACGTTAATGGGGTCCGCCAGAGCAGGGGTCGTTTTGCGTCTGCTGGAACATGACTTGCTAATGACATGATATGCAGCGGGCGCTTTATCACCGATTCCGTTTTTTAAACCGGATGGTCGTACCGAATGGCAACTTGAGTCTACTCTGTGATTTTGTGACAGGGTGCGACGGTAACCCTGAACCCATTATCAGTTAGTGCCACTGGTCCGAAAGCCACGCCTAACACCGACTGCACCGAGCCATTGCTGGCGCCAGCCAAAAACCCGTCATATCTGACGCTCGTCGACCGGCGTCCGCGTGTCAAAGGCATGTCAGTCATGCAGAGGCAGCACCAAGGCATGGGTGTAACTGCTGGGAGAGAGAGCGAGGGGCTCGAGATGGCATGCCCCTGCCAATTTTCGCCAAGTGGGTGTTTAGCAAGCTATATTTTGCATGTAAGGTGCACATTTTTCACATTTTTCCCATGCACATAATATTTTCGGGTCAGACTGCCCTTCTAGATTCCAGTTTAAAACACGCAATCTGTTTTGTCCTCTGTAATCTCAGGGACGTAGGTAGGTAGAAACCCGTGGCACCGATTTCGCGCCAGCCATGACTAGGGAAGTCAGCGCTACCTCTGCTTCCAGGCCGAGGCATCTGCGCCGCCCTAATTGGCGGGCTCATGTTCTGCCTGGAGCTCGACTTCCCGCAGAGTGCGCAGATCCTGGGCGGCACTGCCCTGGCATCTGGCGTCATCTACTACCTCTTCTGGCACTGCTGCTTCAAATACGTCCGCCAGGTGATGCCAGGGTCGTCGGATGAGCGCGGGTAGCCAGCGCAGTCGCTGGGGCAGCGTGCGCTACCTCAGCTTTCGACGCAGTCGGATGAGGCGCGCCGCCGCGCAGACCGGGGCCGGCCGACACCCGCGCCGACCTGTCCACCATCGAGGAGGACAAGAAACCGAGCCCGGTGTGGACCCGGCCTGCCGAACACCAGACGCCCAGCCTGGTCTGGATGGGCGATTAAAGGAGTGGAAAGCCGGGTATGGTCTGGATTGGCGACTGCAGAGAAAGGATAAAGCTGCGTGTGGCCCGGCCCTGACCACTGACGAGGATATCCATAAGCCGTAGCCGGCATAACTTGGCCACAATAGAGGCAGAAAAGAAGCCGGCGTGGTTTGACTTAGCTCCAAAGAAGACAAGGGGATCCAGGGCCCGGTCCGACCTTGCCGTTAAAGAGGACTGTAAGACGGCTTCGGCCTGAACTGACAGATTTGGGGGCGTTCGCCAGCGCATCCTGCTATGACGCAACCGTGCTGAAGACTTGCCGCTGGTGCGCGTCGGCAACACGTCTGTGTAATCACCAGGTGATAAGCAGCGGTGCACAACGTGCACGGAAAGCATCGCGTGCATTGTTTGCTGGCACTGCCATCGATGGATGCCTGTAGTTATCGGCCGGTGGTATTCGGCTGGGTGCGTGATCGCGCCGCCAGCACTGCGTGCCGAGTAATCTGTCCGGCTGCGACGTAATGGAACGGCGACGAAGTGGTAATGGGTTGTACCTTTGTAGCAGCGTATGCTTCTGCGGTCGCGGATGCAGCCACCACATACCCGCAATCAGGATGATTTCTTAGGAAGACCATGGGCGATGGGTTTTCGTCTCCTTTTGCAAATGCGCCGAACAACAATCTTGTGCGGTGCTGCAGATAGCAAGTTATCTCGTGTTTGCGCATGTGCCTTACGACAATTGAGGACATCAATATTGATATGAAAGTGTTTCGTGTTTCCGATGCACACTGAGATCCCCTGTAAGGGCGTGTCGGATGTCGCAGTCTGTGACTGACTTTCCCTTCTGTCGCTCTGCGGTCGGATGCCCCTCTCTGTGACTGACTTCCCCTTCTGTCGCTCTGCGGTCGATTAGGACCTTCATCTCGGGTCGGATGTCACTGTCTGTGACCTGACTTTCCCGTCTGCTCATTCTGCGGTCGGATGTCACTGTCTGTGACTGACCTTCCCTTCTGTCGCTCTGCGGTCGGATGTCACTGTCTGTGACTGACTTTCCCGTCTGCTCATTCTGCGGTCGGATGTCACTGCCTGTGACTGATTTTTCCTTCTGTCGCTCTGCGGTCGGATGTCACTGTCTGTGACTGACTTTCCCTTCTGTCGCTCTGCGGTCGGATGTCACTGTCTGTGACTGACTTTCTCTTCTGCAAAGCAAACCGTGCAGGCATGGCGGTATCGCCGATACTGGGCGACAATGCTGTCCAGCTTGTTTTATTTTGAGTGTTACTGTACAGTTTTTTCCGAAATCAAGTTGCAATATACTTTGTTGTGGTGACGGTCCAACGGCAGGCTAACCCCTGCCAGGTCGGGCCGAGCCGCCACGCTCCTGACAGAGTGTGAAGAGCGATCCCCGCCGGATCGGGCCGTTCCGCCACGTTCCTGACAGAGTTTGAGGAGCGATCCCGCCAGATCGGGCCGTTCCGCCACGTTCCTGACAGAGTGTGAAGAGCGATCCCTCGCCGGACCGGGCCGTTCCGCCACGCTCCCGACAGAGAATGAGGAGCGATCCCCGCCGGATCGACGCCGGGCAAGCCAGGGCAATAATGGAAAAAACAGACAGCATGCCGACATCTTATGTACAACATTTGCGACCAGTTTTAGGTATTTAATGGAACTCGTGCAACTGACCTGTTATGTCGGGCTAAAGGAGGGCAAATCACGCACGTGCTATCTTCCCAGAACGCCGGCGGCGGACAGGCATGCTTGTAATCCAGCGGAGGTTGAAGAGCGAGAAAGCGAGACGACTGTTGTCTGACGATACAGGGTATTCGATGACAGGTATCATTGACGACATAGGAGGCAGAAGGCTGTATGTACAACGGCAACCGATGACTGGTCAAAGGATTGAGAGAATGGTAATGATAATGGGTCTTTGTCATTGACACACGTATGCTGGTGAGGCCACTTGTAAGACATTTCGGCTTGATTAGCCAGCCAGCGAGGAGCCACATGGGCTTGTGTGAGACTTAGGTGAGGGCAAAAGACTTAGGTGAGCTTAGACAGGTTAGCGACTTTAAGTGATAGCAGGTTCTGGGTCATGGCGCCTGAGGCAAAGCATCTACTGTTTATCCATTCGTGCAGCATGCGCTTTGGTATGCTGTGGCGATGGAATCGACTTTATTGTTTCATTTTGTGATCAACATTTCCTTGAATGAAAGGTTGAATGAGGGCAACGCAAGGTACTCACAAAGTGAAGATGGAAAAAAAGTTTAAGATGTAGAATTAGCTATTAGGGTACGTGGGAAAGACTGTGGGGTATTGTACAAACTGGATGATAGGCAAAGGCTCCTTCAACTTCATGAAGATATCCGCTCCAGACACACACGCAGTGGCGCAGGCAGGGGGCACGTGCCCCCTGTGCCCCCTGAGGCTCCCAGGGGCCAGGAGGGCCTCTCGAAACCTATGACTATGGGACCGATTTTGGGCTCTTCGGGCCCGAAAGGCCGGTCGCAGGTTGCATTCAGGGACCCCGACTCGCAGGGTCCGGCACTCCAATGCCAGCCAGGGGGGCCTGTACGCTGATCGCAAGCCCCTGTGTCGATAAAGGCCTATATGATAGTCAGATACTACCAGTAACACACAGCCGGCCCCGTGGTGGCATGGGCCTGTGGTCCCATTTCCCAAACGGGAACAAAGCCGGAGTCTGCGATTTACATTGGTCGGGTTCGCAGCGTCTGTCGGCGCCTCACAGCTCCTAGCAGGGGCCTTGTGTTGGCAAGGATTCTCGAGTCGGCCAGAGCCAGTGTTCGAGGAGGCCCGGAGAGCCTAGACAGCCCACCAAGTACGACGATCAAGGGCCGGATAGGAGGGTCTAACGGCACGAAGGGTTTATTCAGAGGCCCCTGGCTTCAGGATGGCCCCTTACTCAATGGGCTATTTCCCGTGAAGAAATCAGAAATCTCGTCATTGATGAATGAGTGTGTCGAAATGGGTTCAAAAACGCACAAGACCATTCCATGTTTGCCTGACGTCCATTATTTTGTAAAATTGACTAGCGAATCAAATAACATCAAAAGTCTTAGGCTTGCCGTCCCGCAGTCTCGGAAACAAGGACACGGTGGCCTGGGTTGCAGTTTCCGTAGACCGAACGGCATTGGTCTCTGCAAGTAACGCCAGGTGGCGGACACCGTGCGCGCAAGGACGACCGTCCTAAAATAGTGCTTCTGTTTGTTTTTCACAATTAATTTATACAGTTCAAAGGTTACACAGAGCGATTTTTAAATATTTTTTTGTGGTTGTCATCCGAACAGATTAACAGTTATAACAGCAACACGAAAAAAAGACGTTCTGCCTCTTCTCTTCCAGTTCCCCAACCAGATTCCAGCACCACTTCGCGGTGCTTCGCGTCAATCCAAAAATCGGACAGGTAAATTATACGTCAGAAATATCTTCTAAATGTGCAATGTTAAGTTCCAAAGCGTTCAAAAATACTTTTCAGATGCGTCATCATTTTTATCCACTCGCTGTCCACGGTTTAGTGTTAGCTGCGGGGCTGACGCTGCGAGGCTGGTGGAGGCTGTAACGCCTGGCGTCGAGGTTTTTGTTCCTATAATGTGCCAGCACGTATCCTCAAAAGTACGTTACAGAAGTCGTATCACTTATGGATTCCGACTGAACGCTGAGCATTTCCAGACAAACATGGGTTGGCCATGCTGATACAAATTGTTGCCCCATTTTTATTTTCAGTCTACATTGTATAGTTCTTGATATCTCTGCAGCAACCAGATATATACTCTGACGAAGGTTCTGAGTTTTGTGGGTCTAAAAAGAGTCCAATGGAAACTTGTTCAATGAACAGCACTAGCAATTTATTGTCTGCATTCGTTTAACGCATGATACTGTTTTTCGTATATTGACTTAACTACAGCAGTGTTGATCCACGGTAGCTTCTGGCTTCCACTCCAGTAAATGAATGAAAGAACGAAAAATGTAAAAAAACTCGCGTTAATAAAAAAGCGATAGTTGGCGATTTTTGGGGAGGGCCTTGTACTATCAGGGAATTCTTTACCAACCCTGTACCCCCTTTGCGAAAGTTCTGGCTGCGCGCCTGCAAGCACGCGAGGCAGCGTGAAGATAAGTTGCCCACACGGTGCCATACATTTACTGACGCATGACTGGTACTGATATAAAAGCGATTTTCTGGTGAAATTCTTCATATATTGGTACTGTGTGCGTGAAGTATCGGATACTATAAGCAGGGATGCGCTCAAGACAGAAGAGACTGGGAAAACATGCACCCGTTTTAAATTCACGTTCACGTATTCAAGCCAGCAGGCCTCGGCGAACACCGCCGCCAGTACCATGACTAAAACTCCCGGCAAGGGTGCCATCAATCAAAAGTCCGCAACTGCGCATGCGCTTTGAATACGGCCTTGGATGCCTGCGGATATCAAGCGTGAAATACGGCGGCTGCCGCTCCAACTCAGCGCCTCCGCTGCAAATTATTGTAAATCGAGTTCTAGCCGTTTGTATGTCACTTGATCAGGACTTGAGTATACTCAACACGCTTAAAAACAAACCCAGGAAGAAGCCAGCGCCGGCAAGCAGATCTGACAGAACGTGATACAATCAATGCACTGGGCCCTGATGCCATTAAGCATCAAATGTTCTGAGAAACTGCATGAAAGGCTGTCCTGCAGCGAACACTATGATGTTGTTGCCGATTGCGGCCAGGATATTCAGGTCGCTTTTGCCAGCCGGTAGCTACAGCGGGTATATTTGAAAAAACTGAAATATAATATTGCACAAATACGACGAAATGGCATACTATGACGGAAGAAGCGTCGGGCCTTGACGACATAATATCGCCAAACCTGGTTGTAAGCTGACGAACGCAGCGCCGGTCTGGTATGTGCTTTTCTACACGTAAGCGGACCGAATATCTGCCAGGCTTCGCAGCGTTCATGTCGTTTTACAGCAGTAATTCCGGTTTCACTACTCGGTCGGACACATTTGGAAACACGT